ATGAATCTATTTTGTCATTCTTTATGTCTGAGGAGTATTCCATTTTATAGAAAACCACATCTTCTTTATCTAGTTTCCAACTGATAGGCAAATGGGCTGTTTCCAAGTTTTAGCTATTACAAACTGTGCCGCTATAAACATGGGTATGCATACATCTCTGTGATATGAGTCTTTTAGTTCTTTTGGAAAGATACCCAGCAGAGGGATGGCTGGGTCAAATGGAACCTCCAGTCCAAGCTCTTTGAGGTATCTCCATATTGATTTCCATAGTGGTTGCACCAGTCTGCACTCCCACCAACAATCTCCATTTTTTTTACATCAAATTTATTATCTACATTTTGAAATCTATTCAAATTCAGCTGTAGAAAATAAAATTAGTCAAATGAAGGCTACTAAAATGTAGACGAGCTACCCCTCTTCTAGAAATTATTAGTGCCCCTGAAGGCAATTAAGTAAGTGACATTGTGAAAAAATTTTGAAGGGCTAAAGGAATTCATATGGAAGGAAAGGTGAGAAAAATAAAACTTGGAGACTTTTGCAGAAAAAGAAATGAAATCTAAATTCTATAAAAGGAATCACACATTGAGAATATCATAATCAAAAATATGTTTAAGACTTAAGTAAGAATACGATACATAATTTTACAAGAAGCAAAATTGTAAAACAACCACTGGGCTCACCCTTGCTGATGGCCTGGGGTCTAAAGGAACATAGAACCCCACCTCTGCTGACGTCTCATGGTCCGTTCAGCTACCACGTTGTACAAAATCTCTCTAAGTTGGCATCACATTAGTTCTCTCCAACGTGACCATCATCTGGTCCCCATGAAAGGTGTATCTCACATTATAACCAGTGGAAGAAACTGTTGCCAGTGCAGCCATCATCCCTTGCATGCAGGTCCACTCAGCATTTCAAGCATGGGTCAAAACCCAGTCTTCCATAGACTCCAAGGGTAAAGTTCTCAGAGTGCTTTCTTTGAATCTGCTCACACCTGCCTTGATGTTAATAGGACAGGAAATATCACAGCATCAAATGTCCCATTTTCCACCCACCTCAGCTTCTAAATATAAGAACCTCAAAGTACACATGATTCTAGGAATCATAAAACCACTCTTCACATAAATTCTTCACAAACTCTGCCCAGTAGGTTTAGTTCCTCATTTGAAACACAGTTACTGTTGTTCACTTTCTGGCTTTGGGGACATCAGCAGGTGTATCAGTTAGGTTCACTACAGAAAAACATTTAATATTAAGTATATGTAAAGCATTTTCAATGTAGGTGTTCATTGACGGCCTACACAATCAGGAGTGGAAAAATGCACAAGGGTCATCTGCACACTGGAGAGCCAGAGGATCCAGTCAAAAGTCAGACGCCTAGAACTCACTGCAGAATCCTGTGGAGCTTGGTGTTGAAAAACTGAAGGGTGTGCACTGGAAACAAGGAGACAGACTTGCAAAGGCACTGGTGAAGCCTGGGCTCCTGTGAAGAAGCAAAAGTGAAACTTCCTTCTTCTTTCTCCCTTACTCCACCCAGGCTATAAGCCTACTGGTTGCAGCAACCCACACCAGGGTGAGTCTTCCCTCTTCAACACATCAATGATCTGGACATACAGAGAGCTACGTTAGACTGATCCAGTAGGCTCTGCCTGGTGCCAAATTCTGTCTGTACCCTTCCGCTTGGAATTGATTAGTAGCTGTTCTCATGAAATGCTCAGAATAAACTCACCGAGATTCACAGGTACTCAGAAATCAGGGGCAAATAAAAACCTAAAACACAGGAAGGCAACATGAAGCAGAAGCCCATCATAATTCTAGTATCCAGGGTGAGTAGAGAAGCTGAGCTCCTACTGGATGCTGAGAGATTACAGCTCAGGTCTGGTGATCTGCCCATATTGGGAGAAAGAGCTAACCTCTGAGAGAAGAAGCTAAGTGCTGCAGCAAAATGGTGCTCAGCCTTGTAGTCAGCACCCACTGTGCACCTGCTCTAGCTCTCACCCCAATGGGAGATGGAGCTCAGCAAGCAAGATACTGGCAGGCGAGGACCTCCTTAGATGAGTGCAGTATAGAAGGCACAGGCCAGAGGATCATTTGTTGGGTAATGATTGAGCTAGGATCAGTGAGCCTTAGGCACAGGAAGAAAGAAGGACTTTGAACTATGTGTTGAATAACCTCTGGGACAGCGAGGTGCAGGGGTGTGCAGTGTGACCAGTATGGTCCAGGGGTGGAGAAAAGACACTGAAATTGTGCCAGAGGGGGAGCTCTCCAACTGCCTGCACCAATACCACCACTTTTATGAACTGTAGTACCCAACCTCACCCAATTCCCCCTGCCCAGCGCCTGCCTTCCAAAGGCCACACAGCTAGGTGTCTTGTAGGATCCATCCCACTGCTCACCAACAGCTGCTGAGCTGGATGCCCATGTGAGCTCCCTCCCTAAACGCTTTTGAATTCGAAGCAGAAGGACTCTGCTACACTATGTCATAAACGCCACTGAACTCACAGGGTGAAAGGTGAAGATAGAACTTGGCACAGGCCGAGAGCTGGAGAGAAGCAGGGGGTCAAAGGGTGTTGCATGTGCTCTTACTCAAAGAGGCACAGATAGAACAGAAATAAGCAGCCACCAGGATTATAATGAAGGGGTAGGGACAAAGATTGAAGAAGCCCCTCCAAGAGACCAGCAGAAGACTGGGTGTTTGACCAGCCCTGCTCTGCGATCTCTGCCTCTGATATTATTAAAGCTGATGTATCACAAGAAAGAAGACAAGAAGAAAAAAACCTTGGCTAGTCATGCACACAGGGTACAGCTGAAGCCTAACAGAGGTCTGTCTGCAGCAAGAACGAGGAGCAGGCCCAGGCCAAGACCCCCAAATCCCTTCATACACTGATTGCCAAGGGAACAAAACATTGGAAGGGAACTACCTCAAGCACAATCAAAACATGCAGCCTTCTAGACACATCGGTAGAGGACTGGAACTCAGCCCCCCACTTCCTGCCAGACAAGGTCTCTCCATCTTTGAGCTAAAGGGGCTAGAGAACAGCTGGTCACATTCAGAATGGACTATCAATGGACTAAGAAGACTCCTCTCCTTGGTGTTTTTGTGTGGGTGGAGTCCCTTTTTGTCATCGTGTGTGTGTGTGTGTGTGTGTGTGTCTGTGTCTGTGTGTCTGTGTATATGGATTCTATATGGGAAATGCAGAATAAGAATTTGTGTTTCAGTTTGAGTAGCATCTCTCAGGATCATGTCAGATAAATCCTCACAAAAAATGTGTGTGGAGGATGCAAATGCAAGCTTTCTAAGAGCATATTAATCAGCTCCAAACTTCTTCCAGCTTCTCCAATCTCCAAACTTCCTTCCCTCTTCTCCTCTGCTATCCCTGCAAATACCCGCCTCTCCAATCCCCTCTGCTCCTTCCTCCACTCCAAATACAAAAATAACTTCACCAAAGGCCTATTTCCTTTCTCTCACTCATTTATTAGCTCTTTTTCCTTCCTCCCCTTTTCTGAACTGTCTGCTCCTTTCTCCTCTTCCCTTCCCCTTACATCCTCTCACTTCAGCCTACTTGTCGCTTTCTCCTACTACTTCAATGTCTGGCCAGGTTACTGAAAACTTATGAATCTGTGAAAAGAAGTTTGAAATTCTATGACTGATATATGGTTGGCTCTCTAGATGTTGATGTAATATAACCAGTAGTTCTTTCTCTTAATCACTGCAACACAGTGACAGGGACCGATCCTGTCATTTTGAGTACACTGAATGGCTGCAGGAACACCATACACTGAGCAAGATCACCTCTCAAGAAGGTACACACTAACTAAAGCGATCTGCACAGGAGCAGCAGTGTTTTCCTACCCCCACTGACCTTCAACAGTCAGCACTGAAACATGAGAAAGGAAGGCAACTATATACCTCCAAAACCTGCCCTCTCCGAAAGCCAATCTCATGAACACTTAAGTGTAGGAAGATTCAGGCAAAAAAAAAAAATCAAAAATGCCTAAATGTTTAAAATATTTGAAAAGTTGAAAGAAGGAACAAATAAGCAAATCCAAAAGATACTAAGTGAGCTTAAAGAAGATGTAAATGAACAGATAAAGGATTTAATAAAAATAGCCAACAGGCTTGAAGCTATAACACGTAGATTGAATTAAAGACAAGGCAAGACATGAATGAGCACGTCTGTAAAGAATTAGAGATTAAGAAAACAACTCAAGCATTAATCCTACATATGAAAAATTCAATTGAACATATGGGCAATGGAAACGATGGATCTAAGGGGGGACTGCCAAAACTTGAAGACAAGGTGGATATAGTAGATGATATCTTCAGTGATATACTAAAAACAACCTACCTAGTTCTTTGACCCATTTTGATTTGAGTTTTATACAAGGTTCCACTAAATCTGTATCTGGACTCACTGCATCCCAAGAGACAGGAGGAGCATCACATGCTTGTTCTACATCCTGCAACCAACGGCAGGGCCAGGACCAAAGGATGCCCTATTTCTGGTGCTTCCCTTTTCCCACAGACCCTAACCCTGCATACTGAGGAATTTCAGCTTTAAATATTCCACACTGTCTGATCCTCTCATCCCCTTCAGGAGTCCATAACTTTCAAGGACAGATCCTGCACAGCCAAGAGTACAGGACCCCAGAAGCCTTCCAGGGCAAGCGCGTCTTGGTGATTGGCCTTGGGAACACAGGAGGGGACATCGCAGTGGAGCTCAGTCGAACAGCAGCTCAGGTACAGCCCTTCTGCATCAGTGCCACCCTTTGTCATCGTGTGTGGTGGCCTGAGAGACAGAGTCAAGACTACAGAATATGTTGGCCAATTGCCAAGTTATGCTAACGTTGAGTGAGTGAAAAAGAATCCCCAAAATCCCTCAAAGCCACTCTTGGTCTTCTTTTAACCACTTAGGAGACCACACTTTACACAGTCAAACTATCTTCAGAAAAGAGTCTAGGAACACTTTCTGCATGCCAGGCCACACGGCATTTTCCAGATGTGCTCCTTGACGAAGACAAATTGCTACACCCAAGGCATTTATCTTTCTTTTATCTTGTCCTTCGTAATTTTCACAAGAATTTCATTTTTAAAAAAGAAGTTCAAGTTTTGTATTAGAAATCAAATTTGTACCTTGATTTTAGATAAAAGCAACCTTTACTTTGCCAAAAAAGTATACATAATGTTCAAAAAGCCTAAACATAAGATTCACAATTTAAATGCTTGTCCCAATTTAGCATACATCACAGGAGCACAATTAGGACTAGAAAGGAGAGATTTGAAATTAATTCAGGTAAAATTGGTTTTCTAAACCTTTACTTTAAATTCTGTATTATTCACATTTTAAAAATAAGCAGATCAACACAGATACCTACAAGTATTATAATTCTATTTATGTAATTCCATAATCACAATGGAAATTTACATATATATATATATGTATATATGTATGTATGTATGGAGAGTATTTTTCCAAACAATGGTAGCAACAGGAACATATATTTATGCATAGACCTATAAACAAATTCACAAATACTCTCTATTAGAAGACCAGAAAGTTATAAGAGCATTTGAAATATAGCAAAGAAAAATACCAGAAAGGGATGGATATATATTTATCTTTCTTTCCTTATTTCTCAGGTATTTCTTAGTACTAGAACTGGCACCTGGGTTATAGGACGCACTTCAGATGAAGGCTACCCTTATACTATGATATCAACAACAAGATGCAATAATTTGGTTGCACAAGTTCTGCCTTTATGTTTGCTAAACTGGATTCAACAGAGGAAGCTGAATAAAATCTTTAATCATGAGAATTATGGCTTAAGCATTATGAAGGGGTACTTATTTTCTTTATTTTTATGGAAAAACCTTTAACTTTTAACTTGGACTATTTGTACATATTAATGAGGTTTGGTGTGATGATTCCATATGAGCATGTACAGCATAAACAGATCAAATTCAACTTCCTTTTTTCTACCCACCCCACACTTACCTTTCCCAATCCTAAATAGTTGTTATTTGGTCCGGGGATTTAGCTCAGTGGTCCTCCCACCTGCCTTGCAAGCCCAAGGACCCAAGTTCGATCACTGGTACCAAAAAAAAAAAGAAAAGAAAACTAAGTAGCTGTTATTCTAATTTTAGCTTCCACATATGAAAGAGAAAAATGTTTTACTTGTCTTTCTATATCTGGCTTATTCTATTTAAATTAATGCCTTCCAGTTCCATTTATTTTGCTGCCAATGACAGGATGTCATTCTTCTTTATGGTTAAATATCCTTTGGATATCAATATTTATTACTCAAGTTTATAGTAGGAATTCCTGAAATAACATATTTTAATATAATTTTGTACATATTTGCACATTATAAAAGAAAACTTTTGAAGAATATGTAGACATTAAGTGTGATTTTTATTCTATTCTTCACTCAAATATTCTTTGGTAAGTTTTATTTCAACTTTAAAAAATAAACTCACAGCAAAACATATTTTGAATTGTAAACTGTATTATGGAGACAGTATGTCTAATATCATTACGTAGAATGGTGAAAATATTTATCAGTGTAAATAGATTCCTTTTTTTATTCTATTCAAAGACTTTCTTGTTAATTTCCTCTTTACCTAATGTCATTCTGGGAGACCCAAATGATATGAAAACCTTAATTGATCATGAAATGCTTTGTTGCAAATGCTGACCTTGACACTTTAGGAAAAGCATTGCTTCAGAAATTAATTCCAAGAGAGTCATAATTGTAAAGTAGGACAGAGTGAGTCATTTTCCAACTGCCCTCTCCTGGGAGCAGGGAAACAAAACATGTTATAAAAACAGGAATTCAGGTAAGCAACTTTGAATTAGACATTAGGCAATTCACTTTTTTGACTTATTGGGTAACGTCCAACCATTAACTGAATAAAGTATTTGCTGAAGTAACTTCTATATATAATTACAGTTTTTATATTTTCCTCTGCGTTAAAGGAAAACATCAAAATTTATTGTGAATGATGAGCTGCCAACCTGTATTCTCTGTGGGACAATCACTGTGAAAACCAGCGTGAAGGAGTTCACAGAGACCTCTGCTGTCTTTGTAGATGGGACAGTGGAAACAAATATCAATACTGTGATCTTCGCTACAGGATATACATTTTCTTTTCCCTTTCTTGAAGAACCTCTCAAAAGTCTTTGTACAGAAAAATTGTTCCTGTACAAGTGGGTCTTTCCCCAAAACTTGGAAAAAATGACATTGGCGATTATTGGCCTAATCAGTCTCACTGGGTCCATCTTAGCAGCCACAGAGCTCCAAGCACGGTGGGCCACAAGAGTCTTCAAAGGTAACTTGACTCTAGGGAGAGCTCTGTCATTTGACTCTTCCAGATCAACTGAGTCTTAACGTTAGTACCCTGCCATTTAGCTGAAATAAAACAGACGTGAGCTGTAGTAATATAAAGTACTAGGAACATTTAATGAGCAATTAAGATTTGTATAATATTATAATGTGGGCAAATTCACCCCATCTGACTCAGCAGAAGAAGACCTTTTGATCATGTAGGTTGGACAAATATGGACAACACAGTGCAATCAATTTTCTCAAATTAACTGAATGTTTGGAAGCTTGAAGATCCTGTTCTGCTTCTCTATCCAATATATTTACTCCCAATTTTTTCATTTATTACTATTAGTAGAGTTTTATTTCCTTCCGGTGATATTGGAATAATGCATACTGTGAATCAAACTGAAAACTGAAAAGATGATAACCTTTAAGAAATGCACATTAAGAACACTTTAGACACTGGACACAATATACTTTTTCTCTTTATGTACCTATATAAACTTTGTATATGTAAATTCTATATGTATATATACACACACACACACTGTACACACACACTCTGTGTGTACACTCTATTCTCTATATATACACACACACTATATACTCTCTGTATACACATATATACATATATATATGGGGAGAGGGGGAGAGAGAGAACGGGAAAGAGGGAGTGGGTGGGGGAAGGAGGAGAGGGAGAGAAAAAAGTGACAGCAAAGGGACAGAGACTGAGGAAGCCAGACGTGGCAGCAGGTGCTGATGTCTGGCATATGTGCCTCAGGCTGAGCTCTGACCCATGGAGGCATCCATCTAAGAATTTAGCAACAGAATTCTATGGATAAGTGTGCAGGTAAGGAAGTTTTACCTCCAGAAAATTACCTGTGCATTCCAAGTCCTCTCTAAGCTTTGTTCTGAGGTAAACAGTGGGAGGCCAGAAATGAGAAATGAGAAAAACATGAGACTAGAACATTTCTAACTTTCCTCACAGGACTCTGTAAGATACCTCCATCGCAGAAATTGATGGCTCAGTCTATCAAGAAGGAGCAGCTCATTAAAAGGTAAGAACTAATCTTAGCTCTCAGATCTGGTTACACCCATTGCTACTTGGCCTCATCCAGGCCTGTGGCTTTTTTTTTAATTAATATTACTGGTACTTTGCAGGTATACAATGTGACATTCATCATTGGAAATCTGCACCTTTTACATGATCTACCTTGGTTATTATTGTGTTCCCCAACCCATTGCCCTTCCTTCAACCCACGAATCTCTCCCTTGTTTCCATTTGCTCATTTACTTGTATTGATTCCATTCCCTTCTTTCCTTTCCACTACCCCTTCCATTTCCCCTTCCCCTTCGTCCCTTTTCTTCCTATTTCACATTATCTGTGATACCTTTTAGTCCTTATTTCCACTTTCAGTTTTTCACACCAGAGAAAGTATTTGGTATTTACACAAGAGTCCTATTTATTTCACTTAAGAGTATCACATCAATGTCCATCCTCTGCAAATTTTTGCAAATATTTGCCAGTATCTCATTAAAGATTTTTGCATCCATGTTCATTAGTGAGATTGGCCTATAGTTCTCTTTTTTGGTTGGGTCTTTCTCTGCTTTGGGGATCAAGGTGATGCTTGTTTCCAGGAATTAATTTGGGGTATTGCTTCCCTTTCAATTTCACTGAAGAATTTAAAAAGTAGTGGCTGTAGCTCCCCTCTAGGTATCTTGTAGAATTCAGCAGTGAAACCAGCAGGGCCTGGGCTTTTCTTCATCGGTAAGTTTTTAATTCCATTTTCAATTTCCTTAAGCCCACAAGCCTTTCTGTGACCTCTGCACATCTCCAGAGCACCCAGCTCTCCATAGGCATTGTCACTGCTGGTCCCCTGCCCCATCCAAGCTACTTCAGGTACTCCTTTCCTCAGCCTTCCTCACAGGCCAGCCATCGCTCCCTTTGAGCCTCAGAACTTAGTCTTTCCTTTGCTGCCTGCGTGCTGATGTTGCCTCATGAGAAAGAAGCCTTCTTTGACAATGTTACAGCAAAGAAGTGTGGCTGTAGCTCCCCTCTAGGTATCTTGTAGAATTCAGCAGTGAAACCAGCAGGGCCTGGGCTTTTCTTCATTGGTAAGTTTTTAATTCCATTTTCAATTTCCTTAAGCCCACAAAGCCTTTCTGTGACCTCTGCACATCTCCAGAGCACCCAGCTCTCTATAGGCATTGTCACTGCTGGTCCCCTGCCCCATCCAAGCTACTTCAGGTCTCCCCTCTAGGTATCTTGTAGAATTCAGCAGTGAAACCAGCAGGGCCTGGGCTTTTCTTCATTGGTAAGTTTTTAATTCCATTTTCAATTTCCTTAAGCCCACAAAGCCTTTCTGTGACCTCTGCACATCTCCAGAGCACCCAGCTCTCTATAGGCATTGTCACTGCTGGTCCCCTGCCCCATCCAAGCTACTTCAGGTAGTCCTTTCCTCAGCCTTCCTCACAGGCCAGCCATCGCTCCCTTTGAGCCTCGGAACTTAGTCTTTCCTTTGCTGCCTGCGTGCTGATGCTGCCTCATGAGAAAGAAGCCTTCTTTGACAATGTTACAGCAAAGAAGCACTCGTTCTTCACCCTCCTTTGCACCTCTCACAACACCCGCAATGACCTGATGCATTACTTATCAGTCTGGCTGGGCTTTTTCACAGTCTGTTGCCTTCTCCATTAGAGTGTAACTTCTCACAAGGACAACTTTGCTTTGTTCGCTTTTGAATCCCTAGTTCTTATTTAGAATGATGTCTGGAATGTTTTGTTTATTTATTTGTCTATTTATTTTCATCACAAACATTTTATTGAATATAATCAGGAAATAAGATCATATATATTTAACATGTACAACCTGATGATTTATGTATACTTTGTGAAATTATTACAATCAAGCTAATTAATATATACATTACCTCACATGCTTAAAATTTATGTAGTTCTTATTTAGAATGATGTCTGGAATGTTTTGTTTATTTATTTGTCTATTTATTTTCATCACTTAAACATTTTATTGAATATAATCAGGAAATAAGATCATATATATTTAACATGTACAAACTGATGATTTATGTATACTTTGTGAAATTATTACAATCAAGCTAATTAATATATACAATACCTCACATGCTTAAAATTTATTAATTTCCTCTAGTGAAAACATTTTATAATTATACAAGTCAAAAAATACTCTTTAAAATGTGTTCAACATTTCTCCCAAAGATAGACTGAAACAGTTAAGTGAACATCATCCTAGACTATTTCTTGATCTCACTCTATATAAATGCATTTTCAAAATAAAAAGTTGGCAATGCCATATACACTATTTTGTAACCTGTGGTCTTGATTTCTTTTTTTCATTGCTGAGACAAAACACCCAAAACCTGAAGTTAAAGGAGAAAAGGTTTATTTTGGCTCACAGTTTTGTAGAGGTTTCAGTCCATAGTTGGCTGGCTCCAAGGCAGGGTGGCGTGGCAGAGAGAGGGGCTTCACAGAGGAGAAACAGTTCATGGCAGAGCAAGGAAGCGACAACAAAGAAGCAACCAGTAGCAGCAAAAGAAGCAGCAGCAAATAAGCCTCTCTTTCTCTTTTATCCCATTCAGGCCACAAGACTTTCAGGCGGTGCTACTCACACCCAGGGTGGACCTTCCCATTTCCACACTCAGAACTATGCTAAACCAGTCAGTAGACTGATTTAGTACTACACACCCTTAAAACCACCATCACATTCCCTAGATCAACCCAACTCCAAAAATCCCTACCTATGAGCACATGAGGTGTTGGAGGAATAACTAGATGCAAACCCTAACACCTGCTGTTTCACAAAAGTACACATCTTTTCGCCTCAATAAACTCATGTCAACGTCATGATTTCTTAATGATATAATCAGTAATTCATTCTTTCCACATTCATTACCTTCCCTTACATCCCCTTCTCCTCATTCCTTTCTTGTTATCTAATAATAGTCTACATTCTACTTTCATGTAATCTTTTTTAGATTCCACAAATTAGAGAAAACATGTGATACTTGTCTTTCTGAGTCTGGTTTATTTCATTTAACATGATGATCTCCAGTTCCATCCATTTCCTGCTAATGACATTATTTTATTCTTTATGACTGAATAATATTCCATTGTGTATATATATATATATATATATATATATATCACATTTTCTTTATTCATTCATCTGCTGATGGGAATCTTGGATGATCTATATATTGGCTATTATGGATTATGCTGCAATAAACATGGGTATGCAGGTATCCTTATAGTATGCTGACTTTAATGCCTTTGGGTATATACCAACAAATGGTATAGCTGAGTCATAGTGGCTGTAGCGATTTTCATTCTCTCCAGCTGTATAGAATAGTTCTTTTCCCTACATCCTCTTTTTCTGTTACTGGTTTTTTGTTTTTTTTTTTTGTATTCTTGATGATAGCCATTATGATTGAGGCAAGATAGAACCTCAATGTGGTTTTTATTTGCATTTCTCTAATGACTAAAGATGTTGTATATTTTTTCATATACATATCAGTCATTTGTCCTTCTTTTAAGAAAGTTCCATCTGTATAGAATAGTTCTTTTCCCTACATCCTCTTTTTCTGTTACTGGTTTTTTTTTTTTTTTTTGTATTCTTGATGATAGCCATTATGAATGAAGCAAGATAGAACCTCAATGTGGTTTTTATTTCCATTTCTCTAATGACTAAAGATGTTGTATATTTTTTCATATACGTATCAGTCATTTGTCCTTCTTTTAAGAAAGTTCCGTTCGATAGTTCTTTTCCCTACATCCTCTTTTTCTGTTACTGGTTTTTTTTTTTTTTTTTGTATTCTTGATGATAGCCATTATGAATGAAGCAAGATAGAACCTCAATGTGGTTTTTATTTCCATTTCTCTAATGACTAAAGATGTTGTATATTTTTTCATATACGTATCAGTCATTTGTCCTTCTTTTAAGAAAGTTCCGTTCGATTCATTTACCCATTTACTAATTTGATTTTTGGTGTTATTTTCAGTTCTCTAAATAGTCTACATATTAATCCTCTGTCAGAAAAGTAGCCAGAAAAGATCTTCTCCCATTCTTTAGGCTTTCTCATCACTGTTGGTTGTGTCTCTTGCTGTGCAGAAACTTTTTAATTTGATATAATCCCATTTGTTGATTCTTACTATGACTTCCTGTGGCATTGGAGTACTAGTAGGAAATCTTTGCTGTGCCTGTGGCTTCAAATATTTCCCCTGTGTTTTCTTTCAGCAGTTTCAAAGTTTCAGGCCTTCTAAAAAAAAGTTTCAGGTCTTGGGTCCATTTTGATGTGATTTTTGTATAGCGTAAGAAATAGAGATTTAGTTTCAGTTTTCTAAATGTGAATATCATGTTTTCTCAGCACTATTTGTTTTTTTGTTTTGTTTTGTTTTATTGGGTTTTGGCAAGGGTTGATTTTTGTTTTGTTTTGTTTTGAGACAAGGTCTCTCTATGTACTTCAGGCTGGCCTTGAGCTCACTATGTAGTCCAGGCTGATCTTGAGCTCATGGCAATTCTTCTGCCTCAGCTTCCCCAGTGCTGGGAATACAGGCATACATCACCACACCCAGCAACAGCACTATTTCTTAAAGGCACTATCTTTTCACCAGATGGCTGTAGTTGTGTGGGTTTGTTTCTGTGTCCTTTCTTCTGTTCCATTGGCCTCCATGTCTATTTTTGTGCCAGTATCATGCTGTTTTTGTTACTATGGTCTTGTAATATGATTTGAAATCAGCTATTCTGATGCCTCTGTCCTGGTTCTTTTCATTTAGGATTGTTTTTGCTATGCTGAGCCTTTGTGTTTCCATATAATTTTTAGGATTTTTTTTCCAGTTCTGTTTATTATATCATTGGAATTTCGATGGAGATTACACTGAATGTGTAAATTGTCTTTGGTAATATGACCATTTCAACAAAATTAAATCTGCCAGTCCACAACTGTGGAAGATCTATATTCTATTATTTTCTTACACTTCTTTCTTCAGCATTTTGTAATTTTCATTGTAGAGTTCTTTCATCTCTTTGTTTATATTGATTAGTAAGTATTTTAAATTTTGAAGGTATTGTGAATGCAATTGTTTTTCTAATTTTATTCTTAGCTAGTCTATTATTGGTATATAGAAAAGTCACCGATTTTTTAATGTTGACTCTGTATCCTGTTATTATCTATTTATTTCTTAGATGACACTGCAACATCATGAAAGCTTACTGACAATAGCTATACATGTGGCTAATGGTTTCACTTGTACTATGCTCATAATCTGGGTCAAGTTCAGTCCTAGTGTACTAACTACGGGGCTCTCAGTGCACAATTAACATCAGGTTCAAAATGCAGTGTCCCCATGTATGATGCTTTCTGATCCTGTTCATTCATCAACAACTTCTATATTTAGATTGAGCAGATTTAATCTTCATATCAAATTGAAAACTGAAAGTATCTCTTCAAATTACCTCCTTTCACAAATTAATTCCTCTCTACAGGCCGGGGATTTAGCTCAGTGGTTCAGTGGCCTGCCTTGCAACCTCAAGGACCTGAGTTCAATCCCCGGTACCAAAAAAAAAAAAAGAAAATTAATTCCTCTCATATACATCACCTGTAGATGATTCCTTCCTTTTTCTTCCCAGCCCAAAAACACATTCCCAAACATGGTTTGCTTGTGAAAATCAAGTAACACAATGGTGGGGAAGGGTGGATCTTATAACTTAAGAGCGATTGACAAAAGTCATCCATTTTCTTTCCTCACAGGGGTGTGATCAAAGATACCAGTCAAGACAAACTCAACTACATCAGCTACATGGATGAGCTTGCTGCGTGCATAGGCGCAAAGCCCAACATCCCGTCTCTGTTCCTCAAGGACCCCAGACTAGCTTGGGAAGTTTTCTTTGGCCCATGTACCACTTACCAGTACCGACTCGTGGGCCCTGGAAAATGGGATGGAGCCAGAAATGCCATCCTGACCCAGTGGGACAGGACTATGAAACCTTTAAAAACCCGAATTGTTGCTGATCCCCCCCAGCCTGCCTCCATGTCACGTTATTTTAAAGTTTGGTGGGCACCTGTCCTATTTGCCTCTCTTCTACTAATCTGTAGGTCTTCACTTTTTAAATTCATGAAATAATATACAAAATAGAATTTCACCTTACTTAATTCTATTATTTGGATATGTCCCCAGAATTCCTGTGTTGGCAACTGGTCTCCAGTATGGCAGTGTACGGAGGTGGAACCTAAATGTAGAGTGTAGGGAGGTTTTGGGTCATAGTGACTCCACCCACATGAACTGATGAACGTTACACTCACACAACTGGATTCCATCCTAGGTATTGTTATAGTAACAAAAATGACCTAAAGCACCTAGTAGTGTTTGCTGAGGTACATCTGACTGGTCTCAAGGACTGCACTGAATCATATCTATGACTCAGTAATTCTGTCTCCACATATCTTGTTCACTCTTCCTTTTCTTTCCACCATCAACTATCAATAACCTAAGTTCAGGTCCAGTCATTTTATCAAAATTATTGTATTATTTTCTTTGGTCTCAGCACTCTTTTGTATCCTTTTCCAATGGCTATTATATCCTGATAGCTAAGTAATTTTTCTCAAAAAAAAATGCAGTTACTGTTTCCATCATGGTCATGGGAATAAAATGGCGCTCAATTTCTGGAAATTCTAATGCAGAGATTATTTGAAAAAAAGCAATTCTAAAGAGAGAAAGAATTATGTAGGAAGGGCCATCCACAGGAACACTTTCAAAAAATGCAAAGGGGAAGGGGAAGTGGGGTGGTAGGGGAAAATAAAGATGGGAATCTAATAAATATAAAAAAGAAAAAATTGAAACGAAGTCTTTGCAGATAGAAAGGGGTGGAGGGGTTGAAGGAAGGGCAGGGAAATGGGGGAAAAAATAAGAACCAAGGTTGATTATGTAAAGCTGCAAATTTCCAATGATGAATGTTATGACACTGTATGCCTTAAATGTACCAATACATTTAATTAATTTTTTTAAAAAAGAACAATCACTTTTCAGCAGGAAAATACAGGCTGTACATGATAACCCCATAAGTAGACATCTGAGGGAATAAGTTGTTTATCTTTCCTCTCTTCCCTCCCTCTGATCCCCTAGAAGTGCTCCCCTGTGGCCAAATTCAACCAAAAGCCAAAGGCAAGTTTGCAATTTGATGTTTTCCATGGAGATCAGCTTCCTAGGTTATCTTGTTTTGTACAACCTTCCCTGAATTTTTAAAACAGAGCTTGTCAGGAGTCATGGATTCAGCTCAGTGGTGTCAAAGCCTGCCTTGCAAGCACACAGTCCTGAGTTCAATCCCTGGTACCAAAAATATAAGTAATTAATTTTTCAAAATACAGCTGATCTCTCTGGTGTGAATAAACTATAATAGTACATTAAATCCTAATGATATAATTGACAATGTGAAATAGGAAGAAAAGGGCTAAAGGTGCAGGGAAAGTGGGAAGGGTAGGGGAAAGTAATAAGGGAATAAAAATTGAAATGGAAATGAAGTGTTTGTAAAGGGGGTGGGGGGAGGGGGGAGGGCAGGGACAAGGGGTAAAAATGAGAACCAAGACCTGTCGTGTATAGGTACAGGATCCCAATAATGAATGTAACTGTACTGTGTACCTAAAATGTACCAATAAACTCAATGAGGAAAAATAAAAAATAAAATAGAGCTGATCATCTCTATATAATGGCCACACTTCATGTACTCCCGTGGTACTGCTCCTTTATTACTGTGCTATCACTTCTTTCTGTATATGTCTCCTAATAAAAGGGAGTTCCTAAAAGGAACCATATGTTTTTCATTCAAAATACTGCTTGATACAAAGTATGCTACACAAATATTTGATGAATACCCAGTGACTTCATTGGTTGACACTGCTTGTCTGGCCTGTTCTACCCACATTCTTTTCTTCTACCAATATGATAAATTACCTCCTCTTAACCCAGCCTTGCAAATGAACATGGATCACCTGCCAGTAATTAATTTTATAAGTAAAAGAAAATCCATGTAGCAGGTAGAACTATAAAGACACGGTAACTGGAAGCTACATATACTGGTTAACATCACTAACTCTGAAATGAGACCTGCATTAGAATCTTACATATCGTTACCTGTGAAGCACTGGCCCAGTCACCTGGTCTGTCTTAGCCTCAGCATCCTCATCTGGAAAATGGTGGCAATAATAGCTCCTATTCTAAAATGCACCTGAAGTGAGACAATGTAAGGTGTTTGGTACATAGCAAATTAACTGCTAACACCTGAAACTGAAAAACATTTTTCATTCTCTGAATTAAAAGACTTTAAAGCTGCCACGAGCCCTGCTCTCTTCTGTGTAATCAGGAGGTGTGCCCTTTTCTTGCCATGGATTCTTCATGGCAGCACTTTCCAGCTAGTATCACTTTTTTCCTTCACCCAGCACAGAATGCAGCAGATAAACATTACCAAAAAATTTATTCTCAAGTGTTAGACGTGGCCATCCTAATATAGCTACTTAATGTATCTAGATTTTCCCTGATGACAACCCTCCAGAGCAAGAGGTGTCTATTTCCAATTCTTCAGTGGAAACAATATCACAATAGCGATGTAAGCTATCTCTATATAGGTTCTAAAGGAGAGAGTAGAACAGAGGCCATTATTATTTCATTATAATTTAGTTCTATAATGTGCTAACTTTTCTATTTATAAATTTTCAAGAAATCAGACTGAGATCCCTGGGAACAGCAGTGTGGTCCAAACCAACATAGCTGCAGGCAGATCCCAGCCAGGGATTTGCCCCAACCTCAGAGCCTAGGGCAAACCTACCCACCCAGGAAAGAGCTGCAAAAGCCCACCCCATAGCATTTGTGAGTGTGCACAAATCCCTGGGAACAGCGGTGTGATCCAGACCAGCACAGCTGCAGGCAGATTCCAGCTAGGGATCTGCCCCATCCCCAGACTCAGGCAAGGATACCCAGCCTAGGCCTGCCCAGGAAAGAGCTGCAGAGGCCCAAAGCTTCAGTCAGAGGCCCACCCCATAGCATGCGTGAGTGTAGGAAGATCTGGGGAGCAGTGGTGTGGTCCAGACCTGCTCGGCTGCAGGCAGATCCAGCCAAGAATCTGCCCAGACCCCAGAGGCCAATGCCCACCCAAGAAAGAGCTGCACAGGACCACAAACCTCAGTCAGAGGCCCGTCCCATAGCAATGGTGGTTTGAACCCAGGAATTGGTGTACTGGTGGGCAGCAGAGAAAAGGCCTCTTGGTAGCTTGGTGAGACTTGAAGAACCCTGGGTGAGCAAAAAGTTGTCTCAATAAATGCACAGCTGCATTTGTTGAAATAAGAAGACAGCATGTGTAAATACTAAATGGTTTCTCTGGTGTGAAAAACTATAATTGTACATAAGAGCCTAATGGTATAATTGACAATGTGAAATAGGAAGAGGGCTAAAGGTGTAGGGGAAGTGGGAAGGGTAGGGGAAAGGAAATAAGGGAAAAGAAAAAAATATGAAAAAATGAAAAAATGGAAATAAAGTATTTATAAATAGGGAAGGGAGGAGGGGGTGAAGGAGGGGGTGAAGGGTGACAGGGGTAAGGGGGAAAAATGTGAACCAAGACCTACCATGTAAAGGTGCAAGATCCCAATGATGAATATAACTGTACTGTGTACCTAAAATGTACCAATAAACTCAATGAGGAAAAAAAGAAAAAGAAATGAGTAGACACAGAAACAAGTTCCAGAAGCAGACTTCCAGATCACCTAAGGTAACCCAAAGGGAAATGAGATGGAACAATCTGATTCTCAACAACCTGGACTCCCCGAACTGGCAACAAAAAAGGATCTGGAAAAAAATGAGTCACAAATAATTTCTCAGGTAACAATGGAGATAGCGCCCATAGTGTAAGGTATGATTGATAAATCTTGAGGAGACATAAAAAAATAGAGGAGCTGAAGAACATGACAGAATCCCAACATAGGAAACAAATGGAATCCATAAAACAGGTTCAAAGAGATTTCCAGGAGATTAAAAACTCCACTGAAAGTTTACACAGAAGAATGAGAAAGAATTAAAATCTACGTACATTAACACAGACATCCATAGCATCATGGGCAGATTTTTGTAAGTAAATACAAAACCATACAGCATGAAAAGCAGGTTAAAATATTTTAAATAATGGATACATTTAATTATATTAAGTAGGCAGTTTTGTTTTTTGGTACCAGGGATCGAACTTGGGACCTTGGTGGACCCACTGAGCTAAATCCCTAGCCCCAGCAGGCAGTTTTAAAAATTCTACAAATACCAACCACCACTCCATCCCTCTGGAAAGTGAAATTGTCACGGAGAGATGGAGAATTTTAACTTTTAATTTCAATCTTTTGTCTCACATTTTTATATATTCATTCATCTCATTCTGATAATATATGCGTTATAAAATGGGTGAAAATGAGAGAATTTAGGGCATGAGTTTGATCACAGTGAGAGACACAGTGAGAAAAAAAGAAAGAGGAAGAAATAGGTCAAGCCATGTCCCGAGAGCAGCTGGAGAGTCTGGAACACGGGCCTGTGCTTGAACATTTTTTCAACCCCCTAAAAGCTGTAGCACAATGGTGACAAACTTATGGAGCCAATGCCCCAACGGGCTGTGTGTGTCACTGAAAGTTCTAAATGGTTCACCATCACTGCCCTAGCAGCTATTGCAGGATCAAAAGCATAGGTCCTTCTCTGTGCCAGCCAGAGTAAAGCAGAGGGATAACTACAGACTTCATTTCTCGGATGGACTTCTGAGTCAAAATCTTTCTCTCCGTGTCTACTCCTACCATAAATTATCAACAATTTCAAAATCAAGCATACAATCCTTACATATCCTGCGCTCTCAGGTCCTTAATCTAAGTCACCTCTGACAACCTATCCTCCACCTTCTCTCAGGAACCCACTACTCTGTTCATATTCAGTACCAGTGATATCAAATAGCATCCTTGCATCACGAAAATATTTATTAATCTTCACTCTCTAATGTGACAGTTATTAGGAACATGTGGCTGTTAAGCACCTGAAAAGTGGCTAGTGATGAGGAATTTTTAATTATATTAGATATCAATTACTATAATTTAAATATGAACATAACATTAGTGACTATTAGTGCAAACTTGATTTTGTCATTCTCAGCAACTGCAACCCTTCACAGTATAAATTGCAAGTATCCTATTTTTCACCTACATGGATCATATTCATCCAGGTAACTCGTTTAATATCATATTCTTTCAATCTCTGGGACGTCCAATCCAAACATTCCTCATCATTCATCACTGTCGTACCTCTCCACATTTTCTGATTTCCCTTATATTCAGC